TCCTTCAAAGACGTGAATGGTCCTTCTAACAGCCCCAGCAGACTTCTGTATAATTACAGCATCTGGGGTATCCAGGTGTTATCCTGCCTGAGATAATTCTGCACAAATAGGCAACTTTTCGCGTCGACCTTTCTCCCTTCTGCGGACCTTTCTCCCTTCTGCGTATGCTAGTGGACCGATATGAGGTGCGGAACAGCCAGCACGACAAATATATGTTGTCTTTGCAATGAGAATTGCAGCTTTAAAAGGATCAATCTGCTCGATGTTACAGCGATTTGAAAAAAAAAATTTCGCAAGTGCCCGGGAACTGTCTTTACAACCTAATATTTCTAAATCTTGCGTCTACGTTGGATCGTGTATGATCTTTGATCACTTGACATATTGCTAGTGTTGTAATGTTCTACGTATTGCATAATAGCGTATATTGACCCCCGTTGTATCTTGTTTGTATAGCATACATCAAGTAAAGCCAACGAGTCTTGAGCCATTTTTGGTCCAAGAGGTACTTGTAAAAAAAGGGTGATGTTTTGAAATAAAATTCTCTTGTGCACATCCGGCAATACAATCTGACCATTTATATTTTCGATCTTGTGGCTACACTACCCTACCTTCCGAAATACCACTTGCTTACAAGAGATGACCTAGTAATTCAATAGAATCATACACATGATTCTCGACCTCCGACATAGGCATCTAACAACCTTAAATGTAAACGCTGCTGCTTCATATACTATCCGAATGCAATGTTTAGCTGATGGATCTTCATACAGTATTTAACTCATTTTACTTAAGCAGCTTTCTTTCAGTAGTGTTATGTACTTCTTGAGACTAATCGTACTTGTGCTCCTTGCGATATTTGCACTCGTAAGCGTAACGGCTAGTTCAAGCCAAGGAATAAATGAGGAGAATGTCGAACAAGATGATCGCTCTTCAATTCGAGGAATCAGTGAACAGGTAATAGGTTTTGCTAAAGTCTGCACTGATGTTCATAGCTTCATTGCAGCACGACGAAGGAGACTGGTGAAAACATGAAAGGTCCACGTGAAAGAAAGTTTTCTCATTCTGCGAGCATGTGCAATATAAACCGTTGGAAGTTTGTGCTGTTATCCATATACTGAAATCCGCTGATCAGCACAGTCGTTCACACAGTGGTCCTAAAAAATACATTGAATGTCTTAAATTCAAGAGGTATGACTTTGATTCCCATTACGAGGGCGCAAAGCATAATGCCCACCGTAAGGCGGAAGTATAACCAATAGCTCTAAAGTTCTACACTCATGCTAATTGAGATGTCAAAATTGAAAAAAGAAATCGTACGATGCTCGCTCAAAAACATGTCTGTATCTGGAACTTTTTTTAGTTGGGAGAAAAGTTAGTGGAACTATTCTTAGAGTTGTTAGAACAATACCTAAAGCAGCACGAAATTCAGAAGCAAAATGATTGTGCAAACGGACAAACGGACAAAAATAGAGGTCTTGGTAAAATCAACGCAAAACTCACAAACAAATGCACATGTTGTAAAGTAGCTTTCAACATTGCGACGTCGTCAGTGCTGACTGCCTGTTTAGGTAAGGTTGCATGGTAATCACATGATTATTTCAAGCGAGAGCTAAAAATTCATCTCTAATTTTGATTGTCTGTACCTCCATTAATTAAGCTTTGTAAGGAGCATTAGATTCAGGCCTATTCTTCATTTTTTTTTCGTTTTGTAGCTTATTATGAGCAAATGCACAGATCCACCGCGTGCTGGAAGAAGGAAGTTTTTTACAATAATTACTTTCTGAGGTTTTTTTCGTTCATCTCATGTATCAACAAAACACAAACACTATCAATCTCAAGGAACAACAGCGCACGACTGGTGCGCGCATAGGGAAGGAGTGTGCATTGACACACAGGAAGCGCGGTCTGTATCTTGTAGCTGTCATGTTTACTTACTATCTAGCATAATCAGCTGTCACGTTCACCTACAATCTAGCATGATCAGCAAAGCTTGTTGTCCATGTGAACGAGAGAGTTGAAACGTCAAAATCTCAAAATTTCTCTTTAGTTCACGCTTTTTGATATATCCTTTCGTCGCACTGTGGCTATGGCTTCATATTCTTTTCTGCCGCGCTCGAAAAGTTTGGATATAAAGCCCAGCGTCATGCTTACATGTTTGAAAGGTTTTACGAAGAGTTTGTTTAGCCTATCTACATATCAATGTAAGTTCGTTCTGTTTTTCATCTAATAATGACCTCATTTAGTCAACAATTCCAATGAGCTTTACCACTATGAAAATGACATTCTGTGTTCAACAAACACATTCAAGTTTCCATAAATAGAAAAGCAGGCTGCTGTTCTATCATCTAAATGATAATACGATTCAGCCAGATACTTCAAGCCATCATTTATCTACTTTCCCGGCTAGATTCGCATGGCGGGAACAATGTTGCAGGAATTCTTCAAATAATAACTGAAAGCTGAAAAGATGTTTTGCTAAACGGTTAGAACTGTTTTTTCTTCTAGAGCAGCCCCTAAATAGCATTCATTTTTTCAAATGCTCTCGTACCTTCCCGATATGGTTTTGAAGAAACTCTCAAACTGGCCCCAAGCATGTTAATTTTTATCTTGACACGTGGCAAAAAGACAGACCTCACAAAATCTGTTGAAAAACGTTTTAGGCTGAAGTGCGTGTTTCATGAGAACATTCGAAAAAAAAAGATCCAGATAATGGAAAAGTACCGACTTTTGCTCAGAGACGTAGCTCGTGGTGGTTACTGTCCGCTATAGCACCTGTAAAGCCGTAGTAATTTCAATAATAATTCAAACTTGCGTCTATCTTTCTACAAAAAATTTCGCCTTCACAAAATCACCGATCTTACACGGAAAAGCTTTTGAAATGAGTAGCTACTTACAATTTATTGGTGATGGTCAGCATCGTGCGGTGAGTTTCAAAACCGTCATTGCGCGGGTACGAAAGGTATAAGAGATATTAGAGCCTCTGCGAAGCAGAGATGACGCACTGGTATAACATGCTAGATTAACACTTTTTTGTTACATATACTAATAAACTTTAGCTCTGAATTTTCATGCTTACATGTAATATTTTATTCTGGCGGCGAACTGGCTAGTGATTGACATTGCTTATGAACCAAAGGGATAATGACAGAAAACGATAGTGGCTTTGGAGGATTCTTGGTTCAAAATTTCCTTCGAGCAGTATTTTAACATAATATTTGTATTTGATCACAGTGGCCATTACTGCATGGCCCTCTTCTCACATCTTTACCTTAATACTATATAAGGTCATCGTACAGCGATTTAGAAACTTATAAGCAGAAATTAAAGAGCCATTATAGTCTGTGTCAACGATGTGCCTCCCTTTGATCCGCTCAAGCGCAAAGCTAGAACTCCGTGCCGCGCTCGCGAACGTAGGCCAAAATTATTTTTCAACATAGATGGACGAGGATAGCCTATTCATAACTACAAAAAAAAGACGAACTGAATACAATTATCACTAACGGAAAATCAACTGCTTCTCACCTTTCTTCTGGGGGTATATCGCAAAATTCTTCGATCGACACATACATTACTATGGCCAAAATTGCAAAACGAATGTGAAGATGACAAATATTATGAAAATCGTCTTATAGGGTGTTTTAAATTCATTCACCAAGTCACACTTCGACAACGTTCTTTGACTTTTAGCTGAAATTAGATTGTTGATATGACAAATTTAAAGTTAAGCGGGTTACATACATAAAGTGAGAGAAAGCATTTCCCGGTGGCTGTGTCGCCAGTACGAACGCAATACTATGGCATGATTCTACCGAAAACTTCCTTATCCTCACTGTGCCTTGGCAGGTGCCACCCTTTTCATGGGCTGCTCCATCTATCTTCGTAATACCTAAAATAGGAAGATATGAGTGTCAAATCAAATCTACATGTACTCATCTATATAACAGCAAACTTTCCCAGTTGGATGACAATAAGCACCGACCTGGCACCCATCCGTTCGCACTTTCGTCTTGTGCATGGTTTACGTTTAGTCGCATCGCCTAGGAACGTCCATTACACTCCACGAAAAAACGTCCTTTTAGACAATTTTAATCTCTTTTGTTTTAAATTTTTCGGGTTGAACCAGAAGTTCTGTTGCACAATTTTCAAAACATCGTAGCTCCTTTCTGTCAGGATAGTCTTGCATAACATACTTTTGTTTAAATGCTTAGAAATTTATAAAGGTACCTTGATTACTGTCCAAGTATCTAATGCAGAGATAAAAATAAAGAAATCTCCTGAGCCCCAGGGATTTAAGCAAGCCCAGAAAGGAACTGAAATCTTGATAAAGTCTAAAGCAGCCGATTGCCTGAGTGTTTGATCTTTTCTTTTCTATCGGAAATGTTTGTGCTGATCGGCTTTTCTAGAAAAAAATAAGAAAAAATGCAAAAAATCGACTTTTACGACTTGTGTTGTTGTCACGAAAATCATAAATTTTCGTAAGATAGCCAGAGCAGCCCGAGGTTCGCTTATTCAAAAAGTGAGCATATGACATTGAACATTTTGATTTTATTGCGTATTTTTTTAACAGGCCTGCTGGAATCATCAAGGCTTGGAACTCACTTTTTTGTTTTTATCCCTGCATTACGAGCTTAGTGGAAAACCGTCAGTACTTGTATATGGTTCACACTTTTTAACAGAATTAATGGAGAGCAGAACTATAATGAAAGAAAGAAATAACATTTTTTAAAACATCGTGGCAGAGAACTGTGGATATTGCGTTGCATTTCTTATATTGTTTGTTCTGTAATTCAAATTGCGCCTCTAACCAAAGATGATAAAAATAGAAAAAAATTTTCAGCAAGACTATGGACTATGTCCAATATTTGCAGAACAGGTAACAGGTAGAAAAGCATTTGTATCTCCATAAAATGATCACAATCACCGATCACCACCTCCAGCTCATTCAACGCTTTTTATGGACTGGTCAAATATGGAAAATCTTGTTTGCGGAACTTATTGAATTACTTACTAACTGGGCAACATCTTTTTCCATTCTCTACATTTTTTTCGACATATGGCGTGCACACGGCACGTGCTTCAGCATCGCTCTGATCCTCTTGTTCTTTCATGCAATCTTCTGGATCGGAGCACTCAAGCTCAGTCCTCATGTACGTGAAATCATCTCCGCACTTGTGAACTAAAAAAACTTAAGAGGCTTTGTTTAATTGTTTTAAGCCTTAACAAATTTTTGAAGAAATACTTTATTTTCTCAAAAAGGAGACATACAATTGAAGAGGCTTTACTTTAACAAAGCAAATCAGAGGAGTAAAATGGAAAACATAATGAGTATGGCAACTCAACAAGCGTTTCTAACAAATCTGAAAACAGTGATAACTAGAAACAGCTCATGCATCGAAAACGCATGTCTATGCACTTTCAGCACTTCCAGATTTTGTCTCAATCAGTTATGCGAGAAACTTCGAGAAAAGAACATGGCGAAAGTATGAATGTGAACACCAAATTTACAACAAATCACTTTTTAAGTGCAAAAATGCAGGGTAATATGTAACTATTCCAAAGAGATTTGCGTTTGCTGCTGTCTTGCTATAAATTTTTTTCAAAAATCTCAAAAACTGAGAAATCACTCATTATATGAATTTGCCTTTTCATTCATGGAAACTGCTAAAGTTTTCAATCAAGATGTCAGCCGTCTGCTTAAATTAGATCTCTCTTTTATTAAACCTTTATGGGAAAGCGCCAATTTTTATTTGCAGATAAAAAATTTTTTCTGTATCTTCTTTAAAACACCATAATGATAGTGATACTTTCCAACTCAAAAATATACCAAATATCTTGGCAAAGAGTAAATTTTTCCCCATTGAGCAACTTTTGCTTCCGTATCAACTAACAAGACTCGAAAAAATCAAGCAGTCGCATCTTTAGTGTGATAATGTAAGTAATCTTACCTGGGCAGCAATATGGTAATGCATTTCCTGACTTTATACATTCATAATCCCATTTACTTTGATGTGCTAGTTCCTGGCCCAACACTCTATTACAGTCTTCGTCATTCTCGCAGGGCATTGTCTTGCCCTCTAGGATTAGTAGTGCTTTACCAGTTTTGCACTGATATACCTCCTCTTTTGATTTCATCGTAGCTAAATAAAAGCATAAGAAATCAACAACTCCTTGTTTTAGTCGTTTCATGGAAACTTACACTTGCAGCAAAGCCTTAGACTTTTTCCTGGCGAAAACCCTTCGTAATTAGATTTGCTTTGATCCGTAGCACTAATGCATAGACCAGGACTTCAAAATTTGTTTTAGAAGAACCGATCTTGAAAAATCTAATCTTCGCTTACTCTCCGCAACCTAAATTGCCTCCACATTGTCCTTTCTGACTGTAAGAACAGCGAATGCGTCAAGGTTTGGATCAGCCATCATTCCACTCTTAATCGTTCATCCTTACAATCGTCTTAATCATGATAATAGGTTATGTGCACGAAATGGCATTTTCACATACATAATTGACCATTTGAAATTTTGTAGGAACTTGTGCTAGTGCATGTATGCACTAATCAGCTTTTTATTGTCGTAATCAAAAAAAAAAAAGAAAAAGTCAAAAGTGCACGTTCGATTGAGGAAACCTTACAAAAGTGTTATGATTCAGAATGACTCCTAATGGTTTCATGCCGTTTTAGTTAACAACGAATGCTAAATCAAATTTTCCTTTTGATGTTTGCTGTGCGCTACTGGACATAGAGCTATGATTGCCTCATATTAAAATTAAACGCGTAATCTGAATAAAGCTGATTGTAGCGCTTTCTCCAGCATCAAAACAGAGCAATGGTGGACATAAGTTTAAAGGTATATTCAAATACAGCGTCCAATGCTCACGAAAAAAATACTGAATACATTTGAAAATGTTGCGGTTCCTAGGGACTCAGCACCTCTCATCGCTCGCATACTACCCGATCCCGCGTTTCTAAGGTATTACAAACGCTCGAACAAGCTGAGCTCTTGCTTGCGCGACCGTGTCGCTAACTACCCTTACCCGCATGCTAAATACAAGCGCGACTAGAACGCAAGAGATCTTACACAGATAGAACATACATAAGTTATCTTAAATAACACAAAGAAAACTACTAAACTAACGCAATTCTAGAACTACAAAAAAAACACTAAACCCTCAACGCGGGGCGAGCCGCGATACCCCGCGCCACCGATGGCCCAGAATATACTTTCTCCAGCAAACGTACTCAGGGTTCCTCTCATGTCCGTCGCCCGACGCCTGGTCCGTACGGAACGGTACGTACCTCTTCACTCCCGCGGATGGTACTTGCTAGAATCCTCAATCCACAAACGAACCCTTCGGTCCCAACTCGACTACTACTCAACCGCTTACACAATTCATGCGGGAGCTGCCAGACGCTGCCAAGGATAAGGAAAACTCAATCAATAAACGGTACTCGGGAAAAGGCAATGAACTGTGGGGAAGATACAACCGGTTTGGGCGCGGCTATATATAGCCCTCTGCTTGGCAGTGCGCCAGCGGAAGAGGTCCAGCCGCGAAAATAGCAGCGCGACTGGCAGTGCGGCAACCAGCGCTCCCGGCTCGCTGATCCGAGGAGCTGCTCGCATCGCTGAGCCGCGACAGAAAAGGTCACTATGACTGACGATAAGAACACCCTTTGTCGGATAAATACGTTATTAAGGTGCCGGAAGAACTTTAGTGATTAAACCATTGTTCAGAAACATAGGTATTATGAGAAGTATAATGAGCAATGACGATGGATATTTTGAATATCCGTTACAAAAATAAAGTCTCCGATATTTCGCCAGTACTTCGCTCGTGCATTATGAAAAGTTTGTTACTGCGATATGTAGCTGGTACAAGTATTCCCAAAAACCCTTTCTTGTAAGACTTTCTTCAGTCAATTGAACAAGAGATACAGAGGATAAAGATTCAAACATTTTTATGCTCGACGGGCTTCTTGCACCCATCCCAACAAACATCTATGGCTTCTTGCACCCATCCCAACAAACATCTATGGCTCCTTGCACCCATCCCAGTAAATATCTATTTTTGTGGAACTTTAGTAGAGGCATGTATTCTATCTAAATTGAAATTTCCTTCGCAATTAATTGCACCCTACAGTCTGCCCCAATCGGGATCAGGCCGAACCGTCGGCTGAATTTGCGCGCTCGCAGCGCTAGGGGTTTGCGCTGCATACGCGCGCTATCGCAGAGAGCGAAGAGATTAAGGAGAGAGCAGACTAGCTAGACGCAGAAGTGGCGCGAAATCCTGGCGACGCGCACTCCCGCCAAGCCAATTTTGGCCTGGTTAGGATTGGGGCAGACTGTAGGTTTTAGTGCATCATATCCATGTTTCTCTGTTTGCCTTTCTCAGTCCCACACGATATTAGCAAATGCAATTGCCTTAATTCCGAGCCATAATTTAGTGTAAATCCTCATGAAAATCTACTCAAAAATATAGATTAGAATGTTTCAAATCATGCCTCTTTTTCGAGAAATTTCGGCATAACCATCCCTTGTATATCAAAAACATGGGTTTTATACATAGGCTATTGAAGCTTTCGTAAAATTTTAGAGATCCTTAAGACCTTTGCTTTGCAGCGATGAATGAGTGGTTTTCTTTGGTACTGAAAATGAAGCAGACCAATATAAACACCAGGAACTCGAGATCACTTCTAAATTTAATAACTTCTCAAGACATTGAATTTGATAAATTATTCCGTATAATCGTCTTAATTTCACTAGATTAGGCACATAAAAACACTTTAGTTGCGGCGAGTGTGGTACACTCAGCGTTTAAGCTTACGCATGTTTTCTCTCTATTTCGTCGAAGCGTCTTATTCTTGTGTTTCAACATTATCAGGATTATCTTGAAAATTTTAGTGTAACGAGCAATGTTACATATTACTGTATTTTTGCTGTGACTCTAATTCTAGGAAAAAACATACTGAAAATTTTTTGCTTGCATGCATTTTTTGGTACGTAACATGTACTAAAGGCCTTTTCAATCTTGTTAATGAACAATGCCAAGGTTTAAGCAACTTGAAAGTTATCAAAGGACACTTTCTGCGAATTTTGTATTGCAGATTTCCCGTCTGCACCATTCCGTCGACTTTACCTGATGGAAGTTGAAGTACGCAGCAATAAGAAGCATCGCTTAGTGACAACGGTTAATCTAGTAAAAACATCAAGTAGCATGCAAGACAAAAAACTGAGAGTTATAACACATAACCTGGTGTCGTAACAGCTGTCATGCACGAGCTCAAATTCTAGTTTGCAAACGAGATGCCTAACAAGGAAAAGACGAGTGTAGAATTTCAACTTCTGTTCCTTAAAAGATTTTGAAGCGCCTTTTGCAACCTACTACAATCTTACAGATGTTTAGTTTTGATTACGAATTACTTACAGCGGCAGCAAATGCCAAGCTCCTCTAAACCTGGAAATGCGGCACCTCTATGCGTTTCAGCATCATAAAAGCTATCTTCGCCGCAATCCTCTAGACCGTTGCAGATCATAATCCCTAGTCCATTTGGATCCTTCTTCGCTCTACCCGCACACCTTGGCGCTAAAAGTTCTTTGCTCACTAGAACTATAAATTTACTATATTGTTCAGTTACTTACATGAAAAGCACAACTTTGGATTTTTATTTAGAAGCTCCGCGTTCGTTCTATTTAGTGGTACGCTTCATCGCAAAATTCGTCCTCTCCACAATCTTCATGCTTCTCACAAGATTTAGAGCATTCCAATCCTTGCTCGGCTTCTTCTTGTAATTTGAGTGCTAGAGCACTTTTACCACTCTTGATATCTTTCGTCGTCATCTCCTTCATGTGCTTCAGCACATTTGTTGGCAAAAGGTTTCGATCTTTGAGCTTGAATGATTTCGAGAACGGTATAGCTAAAATTTATACGTTTCAAGATGTTATCATTCAATAGATCAATTTTTGACAAAAACAAACAGCTTTTTTTCTCAAATCTTTTTCTTGGGAGGTGGTGTAAGGTAAGCGGTTTATTTTGAATACAACTACATAAATACTAAAAACAAATCTGCCAGTGGTGTAAAATAAACTTACGGCAGCAGTATTTCCTTTCAGTACCAGTAATTTTCGAACAGTAACTGTTAGGAAAGTCTTGTGTGCACTCCTCGACGTTGCTGCAAGGCCTTAACGCATTGTTTATTATAACGCATACATAAAAATGCACTACATACTGAAAAAACAGCCGTTTAGTCTCCTTCTTTGCAACATTATATTGTGGCAACATCTTGGGCGTTCCCTGACACCATGCTTTTATATCTTAAATATCAGCTATGATATGAGATTTGGTTCGTAAAGTGATTGAGTTTTTAGGATTTCTGTATTATTGACATCGACTAGTGGCTTTGAGGTGAAGGCCAAGATGAGCGAGATCTGTGAAAGATCATGCTGTACATTCGCGGACGTCAACAGTGCGTAAATTTGTAAATGGTTAAATCTGACTCCGAGTAGAATTTGCTACGTAACTTATAAGGCCGAATTCTTCCCCACCCCCTCCCCCGCTTCTCATAAATAAGCACTAGTAGTCTGACAGTGACAGTAAGCTGCTTTTCGCAGTAATTTATTGGGCTTTTACCGATCTACTAATTTGCTTATGTGTACAAGAATGAAACTTATCATGTTCTAACCAAGCACTTTTCTATAATCGCAGGGGCAGTAAAACTTATCTTCACTTTTCTGTTCGCAGCATGCGGTGACCATATGTGAGTCTGTTAGGGGGGCTCTTATAAGGATGCTATCGCAAGTTGTATGTGGTGCGGGAGAGGAAGGAAACCTGGAGGTAGTAGGCGACGTGAAGCGTAAGTCGGCGGAGAGGTGAGGCTAAATATTTAGCTTGAGCGAACCGTTGCTCGGGTCTTGGGATGGCTGCCCATTCCATGTAACGGGGGTTGCCTGGTAGCGTAAATAAAGACCAGTAAGATTCACCGTGGAGTTTTTTTAGTATTACGAAAGCATTAGAACAGATAGTAAGTTCCAAGTTCTCTCTTCTCTGAACCTGGGCATTCTGATGTAGTAGTTTTATGAGTCAGTATGCCGAACCCAGGTTAGTACGGTGGTATCTTTTGTTCGACCTTACGTTTCGACAC